AGACTGAGCAACACATGTAGACGATTTTGCTTTGCTAGGCATATACATTGGGTGTCCTGTAGGTAGATACAGAGCATATGGTATGTGTGTTGCCATTGCTGTTATACATACAAATATGCTGTTATTATTCCTGTAGGATGGCTAAAGCCTCTCTCAGTTGCTCCTGCTCCCAGTGCTTTGGGTCACAGCTGCTGGGAAGTCTCTTCCCACCCTGTCTTCCCTCCTCCTGCTGACTGCCAGGGTTGTGTGGCTGAAGCTGCTGATGCAAATGTGCAGAGCTGCAAGGTGAGATAGCCACGAGGCAGAAACCAGCAGCACCGATATGTTCTCTGTATGGACCAGAAATAGCATTTAATTCCCCAAATTCCCTTGTGAATCTAGTCCATGGGAAGAGCTAAGGACAATCCAGTTCTTCAGCGCAGAGGAGTCATCAGATACAAACAAGCTACTTGATTCTTTTAAAAGCTCAAAAGAGATCAATAATGAAAATATTAAGGATCCTTTCACCTTGGATACTTTGGGTTTTGTTCAAAAGGGCAGAGCAGATACACAGAGCATCCAGTGAAAGACAGAGCAAGTTATAAGAGGTGTGGCAGATCTTCCATACGAGGGAAGGTTAAATGGATAAAGAGACAAATGAGAGGTGATATGTTAGTGGTATATAGGCGAGTGAATTGCTAGAAGAGGTCAGTCAGACGATCCTATTTAGCCTTTCCCATAAATCAAGAACAAGTGGAGTGCTGTACAATAATTCTAAAAGCTAATGAATTTAAAAGTGATAGAAGTAAAATGTTTTTTTTCATGGTGCCTAACTAACTTCAGAAATTCATCAGATACCATTAAGACAAAGAGCCTAGCAGGATTAAAAATGGATAATAAGTGACAGAAACTACATAAAAAAAGTTTATACAGGGTGTTCAGCCATTTACTAAAACTATTTACTGCTTCGGGCTGCAAAGAAACATTCCCATTTCGTGGGAAAGTGAGACGTAACGGTTGGAGTTCTTGTACCTTTTCTACCGCATTGGGTGAACGGGAGGCTGGATGATGGACTGCTTGAGCCATGTTCAGTATGGCCACTCTCATTTTCCAGAGCAGAGGGCACACCTCCACCTACCCAAAATCACAATCAGAAAACATTTCGAAAGCCTCTGAGCTGCTTCTTTGAAAGCTCCTGAGCTTTGAGACAACACAGAACTCACCAGTGAGGAGGTAACCACTCCTTTTGTCTCCCAGACACACAGCCAAGAAACTTATGGATAGGAGCTGAGGGTTGGAATTGTATTTTGACACAGACGGAGGAGAATCATGTGAAATTTATGAGTCTGCCTTTTATTAACTGAAACATGCTCTAAAATGGCTCTGAAATGGTGGTGTTTTGTGGGTAATTAATTGGCACGCATTCTGAACTTGCCGTGTTTTATGGTCCCTCTTAAGCTTATTAAACAAAGCTGTCAGCTTCTCCTGGAGGGGTAGGTCCTGTAGGTGTGCGAAGTTTTTGGAGGTGTGCAGACAGGCTGCTCCACCGGGTGCTGGTGGGTTCCCTGTGCTGCTGAAGTGTTTCTGAGGGTTTAAGAGTCAGCTTCAGAAAGCCAACACGGTTTAGAGTTTGGAAGGCAAATTTCTACCTGTTCTTGTTTCCTCCCAGACTTTCCTGCCCTTGGTGTGCAGGGATGAGCAAAGTCAAGTGCCTGCAACAACCCAAATACCGGATTATGTAGGTGAATTCAGAGGAAGAAAGGGTGTAGAATATAAAGTTCCTATTTAAAAAAATAAGAAAAAGACTGGGGCTGAATAAAATGAGCCCTAAAATGCGGTGCTCTGTGCCTCAGTTTCTCACACCACCGATGTGCAGCGGTGTGGCATCCCCAGTTCCCACGTCTTGAGTTTGGAGCGCAGGTCTCTAACTTCAGTATATGTTTTGTGTGAACAGCTGAAGCGATGGTTTGCATTTTGTATCCAGTGTGCAGCCAGATCTTTGTAACAGGCATCTAGAAGGAAAAACAGGCATTAATTCTCATAGTATTTCAGGTTTGTTTGGAAGTACACGGATGCTGAGTGTAAAAATAGCATGAGGTATATCAGTAACGATCAAGTATATTCGTTTGCTGTGATAACACATGGTGAGTTGGCACAAGGATGAGATTGATGCTTTAGGAGCATCCTTCAAATATTCCCTTGATGAAACCTACTGATTAACAAGAGCTGTGGCTCTCAGGCAGTGATGGGTTTGGGTACAGCCCGACCTCAACAGGTCACTTGCTGGAGATATTTCTGACACGTTGCCCTTGGTCCTTAGGGAAAGGTTGGGGTTTTTTTGATATGATGTAAGTGCTGGGGGAGGTTCCTATGCTCTGCAAAACAAGCATTTCCCTGGGCCCCATCCTGCAAAAATCAGGACTTGTGACTGAGACCTGCATCTGTGATTTTGCTCGGCTTCCTTATGCTTTGTGTTTTCTTGAATGCAATGCAGAGGAACCTGCTGTGCCGTGATAATATGTGCATTCCCATTCAGCCTCTTCTGAGAATTAGCCATGTAAAATCCGTACACTGCCTGATTACAGTGGTGATTGTGGTCCCAACTTACTTTCCAGCTTTCTTCCAAACTCTACCCATGGTCTCTTTACTACGTAGTAATTGATTAGCTGAACTTCTTGCCTGCCTTGGGCTGAATGGCAGTCTTTGGCTCCGTTGCAACACGGGGTGCTTACGAAAATGCCCCTAGCTGGCCTAGCAGAGAATTAAAGAACTATTAAAATGCATGTTGCTCTTAATATATATATGTAAACATACGCAAATAAATAAAAGGGATGAGAATTTGTTCAGGGCACTTTACGTGTCCTCTTTTAGCTGTAGCTCAGCAAGTCAGTCTGTGTTTCTCCTTGTTGGCTCAGAAGTTCTATTTTGCAGCTGAATTTCTTGAGTTAAAGGCTGACAATTTTTCTTGCAGAAGTTTATGATTCAATAAATTGATTTTTTATTTTTATTTTAATGAGAACTCATTCTAGCTGGAAGTGTCCTTTTTATTTCCATTACAGGTCTCTTTCTGATGTCTTCTTTTACTATAGTAATCCTAGCTACTAAGACAACTGTTTTTTCATACAAGTTTGAGTAAAAGACACTCTATATAGGGAGAAGATGCAGATAAACACACTGATTCTTGGATGTATTTGTTTCTGCTGCATTCTCAGGCTTCTTTTTTTCTGATCATTTACCATGATGATCAGCAAAAGCTCCTTGTTTAAAGCATCTGTGGTATTTCTCAGACTGAAGCTAGCTCCTGAAAAAAAGGTCTTCTGCAACTCTAATTTTGAGACAGCAAAAATTTAGCAAAGTGTGAGCAAAACTTCTACCAAGTCATAGCAAATATTCTTATAAGTAATAATTAGAGGAGCGATGTTGTGCTGATATAGGCCCAGTGAATTGCTTGTGCTGGACAGAGGCCAAACTCAGACACTTTTGGGATTTTGGAAATGTATGTGTCCGGCAACAAAAGAGATTCTGCTGGAGCTCTGGGCTGTGAGCTTGGTTAACAAAGAGCAAACTACCTGAGCAGGAAGAAAAAGAAACTCCATGGCAGTTCAGGCTTGCAAATAATTTTCTCTTTTTCACTCTTCCCATCTTTTGTCCGTCTGTGTTCTGCCCTGAGGGGCTGATGGAGGAGCTCTGGGGCTGGCTCTTTGGCTAACGGTTGAGTCAGTAATTTTTCCCACTGAATTCATGTAGATATTAAAGGGGACAGGGAGAAGACTGGTCTCTCAGGAAAGGGAGCAGATTGGTAGCAAGGCATGGTTATTCCTTTCCGTTGTCGGGATGAGAAAGGATAGACATCTGCTATATGCCTCAGGTGTATATGCTCCTCTGATGAGACCCACTCATGTCCTCCCAGAACTGGCTACCCATATATCAGGCTTCAGTCTTTAACAAAGCATTTTGTAGAGAAGTCAGCACATTTGTACAGCATTCCTGTAAGGCACCCTTCAAAACCAAAGAAAGGCTTGCATGTCCAAAAGTTTGCTTGATTTTTTTTTTTTTTCCCCCTCAAACAAACCAGTTGATCCCAAGAAAGATACGGGTTCATTCTATAAGCCTTGCCTTGCTTATAAAAACAAGAAAAGAGGAGTCTCCAGCTCCAAAGAAAGCTTAAAAGAAGATTAATTAATTAATTAAGAATCTTTTCTTCTGAGTGCAACAGGATCCAAGTAACAAGTGAACTTTTCATTTCCAGTAATAGCAGAAATTACTTCAATAGCATGATTGTGAGCACCCGTGGGGCCATAATGTGAATGGTCTTTATTAAGGAATAGACTGAACTTCTGACTATCTTTCTTCCAGTCATTTCCACAGGCTATAAACAGCGCCTGGTTTGTTGCTATTAAAAGAGTCTAAAGACGACGATGCTGAAAAGCATTACTGTTTAAGTGCTCATGGCTTGACATTAACATGAAAAATATTTTCTTGAAAGTAAAGTGAATTTGGGTTCTCCAGAACATTATGGTTTTGTTCAGAAATGATTATGTTGAATATTCGTGATATGGGGAAGATGTTTTTGGGGTTTTGTGTTCTTAATTTTAATGACTAGTCACTACTCCTCTGTTTTGCTTGCTTTTTCAGACGTGTGAAGTCAGAGAACATCTTGGGGGCAATTTTTATGTTTTCTTGGTGTTATTTTCTGCCTGCGTTAGTACCTCTTGAAAGAGTCTGGTTTTGGTCAGCGTTCAGGCCTTGTTATGCATTTATTCCCACGTTGCTCTGAGGAGCAACCTTTCCTGAATAACATGGTATTTTGCAAAATGAAACTAAGTAAAAACTGAAGTAATCCATGATTTGCTGAGGTGATATCGAAGACATATCTCTCATGCACAGCAGACCTATGCATTAATCCTCTGTTTTGGGGTCTTTAATTGCTTTAAATATTTGCTTCTAGATCTGTGTTTCACACATCTTATTTACATGGTTTATTTTTCATTTTATGAACAAATCGATAACCAGACAGACTCTTTACCACACTGGATTAGTTTTATTTATTCTCTTTGAACTTGATTAAAAAGCTGTCAAACATAAGTCTACATTTTATCAGCAGAATACTTTTACAAAACAGGGTAGGAGATGTGTATAGCTGGAAACATACATTTCAAAATGAAACAATATTTGATATATTCTAGACAGTTACCCTTTTGTTTATCCATGACAACTGAAACTAACCATCAAATGCATAAATTGATTCAAGTCTAGCCAAGTAATCCTAAGGGCATATGAAAAGGCTTTTTTTTTAAAGTTCTTTCTAGATGAATTTAATGTAGTTCACCAATAAAGCATCCTCAGGAGCACAATACAAATGCTACAGAACATGAGATAGCTGGGGAAAGCGGGCAGATGTACAGTGTGATGAAGAATCAAAATGGATGTTACATTAAAATGAGCAGTCATGCAATGTCTTCATTTCATGTACTGTATTTAAGTAAAAATGCCAAAGTTCCAATTTTGTTTTTAATTTTTTTTAGGCACTGTTATGCAAGTAGTGACATTCTAATGGTGTTTGTTTGTTTTTAAATTGTTTAAAAGTATTAAATGTATTCTTTTTTGGAACTCTTGGGGTAGGCAAATTGATTATTCATCATGTCTTTAACTTTCGATATATATCAAAGAGAGAGGTAAATTATACTCAGATTAGCTACAGATGATCTGGTATCACAGTTTTAATTTGTTGCCTTTAATATACATATTTTAATCCATTTCCCACAAATCTCCTCAATTACTATTTGTCTTTCTGTGCCATTGCATATGTTGGTAAACAGCATTTTCTATGGTCTTTGGCCATATGCTGCATGCTCAGCTTGCAAAAAAAGTGACACTTGGAGTGCTAGCATAATGAAACTCTCAAAGGGTTAATGCAGAATACATATAGGCAAATGTTGACAATATTTTTTATTCCAATGTTTGAAAATTAAACACAAAATCATCATTAAGTTTTCACAAAATGAGGCATCTGTCACTTGAAAGAAAAAGAAATATTTCAGAAATATGTTTACAGAAATGTAAAAATATTAGACATCAAGACAGATGTGAACGTTTTCAATAACAGGCCCTGTCTGTCAGTCTTCCTCAGAGCCGAAGATCTTGCTGTACTCACTCAACATAAGTTCAACTATCTGATTTTGGTACAGCATGTGGACTGCCATGTTCCCTGTCTCCTTTTCAGGTCTAAGGAGTGTTGGTCCAAACACAATTCCTAAGCTTTGTGTTGACATAAGATTCACGGATTCCTTGGCTGCTATCCTGTTGACGAAAGGAAAGAATTGGTTAAAAAAGAGGGATGTCAAAGGAGTCGCTGTTGCATTTGAAGTACATAGAGGCACTTTTTACTCGTCCTCCTAACAGAGATATTTGTTCGGTTAAGTTATCAAAAAGAAAGAAAAGAGGGAGGGAAGAGACAACTTCTGCTAACCTGACAAACAAGGAAGGGAGAGTCAGCTCCAGACTGCAAGATGTGTGGGAGGGAGAGGTCTGGAGCCCCATTGACAGTGCTTTTATATCAGGGCACAGTTTGCTGCTTTCTGGTGAACGAGCATTACTGTCTTTGCTATAAGGCGACAATTTCTGAGCTCATACGTTTAGGTACTGAAAATAGGGATTGCTCTTTATGCTAAGGGAATCGACCACTTTTGGTGGCAACAGTCCTGGTGGCTCCAGGGAGGAGCTTCCCTGCGTCTCTTAATATGGTCTGCAGCACTGAAAGAGTTGGGAAAACAAAAAAAATCCCCTTAATATAGAGCTCATATGAAACACATTCCTTCTCCTAATTTAAATCCAATAAAGTTAGGATGGTCTGAAATAGATTGTGAAATTTATGTAACTAAAGACTTTTGCATGCCTTATCCTGACACAAAGTTTCTTGAAAGGCACTGAGACCACATACCTTAATGAGATGACTTCGAAAATAATGGTAAGGATTATAACCTTTGATATCTTTATTACTCACAAAATTACAAGAGGAGGACTATTATTATTAAAAGTTGATCTTATGTCTGTATTAAGACTTAATATTCTTGTGGAAATGACATTAAGGATGGAGAAATCTGGTCTAAGAACAATATAGGTTTAATGGATGGAGTTTAGGCAGGCAGTTTCGCATAAATCTCTGCAGCGGTGAGTACGAACTAAGTAGAAATCCATTTCCTTCCACCCTCCAGAATATATAATATGTCCTAGGTTGGAAAGACTAGTAAATGAAGATACATATTTTATAAATAAATTGAAAAGCTCTACCAAGGAATGCGAACAAAATGTAACTTTAATATGTAAATGTTTGAATTTATGGATGCTTCCTTAACCTGTTAGCTTTAACTTAAATATTCCAAGTGGATTGTTGGAGCCAAGTTCTGCTTTTTTCTCCCTCTCCCTCTCATTGTCACTCATTTACCTTTTTAAAATCCAGACAGCAATTTAAAAATCATCATTGTTGTCTCTGTTTTCCCATACCTGTTGCTGAATTTACAGCAAGCTACACTATAAGTGAAAGAAACTTCATGAGACATAATGGGTTCAGTCACTTAAAAAAGGTTTCTTTCATGTTAGTGGGTGGGTCACACAGCAAAGAGCATCGTCTCGTGGATTTCTGCCAATCTTCCTGTTTGCCACGTTGCTTGAACATCAATGCTCGTGTTTTTTCCCCATATATAAATAGGAAGCATTACTTAGTTCTGCCTCATGCTTGTAACCGTGGTGTCCATTGCAAAAAAAAATCACTCTCCATATGGCACTAATCAGATTGGCTTAATTATTAGTTTCTTAAAATATAGCATCTTTATTATAAATTAAAAAAATAATAATTATCTTTCTTCTATGGTAATATGAACATATCATCTCTTCTCTTAGGAGTTCAGAAAGTCTCAAAAGTTAGTAGTTTTGTTGCCAAATGAGTGTGTGGGCTTCTGATGGACGTCACACATCTTTATCACATATAAAAGTGTTTGTTACAGGGGTGCCAAGGTTGTTTTACTTAATGCCACTTACATAGAGTACATACATCACGCTTGGGGCCTCCCTGTGAGGACTTGATTTCCATTGAGCTTGCTAGATGCTAGGAGTTGGAAACCTTACGAAGTATTTACAGAGACATCAACATGGGTAAAAGTGCTAGTGCACCAGAGGAAAAAAAACATATTCAGCAGCTGTATCTTGCGTAACCTTAAAGATTGTCGATTTAGCATCAGTCATGGCCTTGCAATGTGGTGGTGTTGACGATGGACATCGTCAACATCCCTTTGCAGGGAGCAGGAGGCAGTGGACCATGAATGAGCAGGGTCAAGGTGAAAACAGTGGTGGCAGAGCTCAGTTTACTGAAGGGAGAGGAGGGGTCTGACTTCTGTAAAATTTGTAGCATCTGTAAAATTTGGAGCAAGACGTTGAGATTCTATGTTTCTGATGAGGACACAGAAAACGGAAGATGGATGGCCAACCCCTCTGTCCTTGTTTGCCGTCTCTCTGAAGCAGAATGATTCTCCTTGTTTTTTTCCTGGAGATGCCATCCTGCACGAGAAGTCCTGTTTGAATCCAGACATTGCCAGTGCATGGTGTGCAGTTGCTCAGCTCTCAGGAGGTGAGGGTATGGCATGAAGTGAGGGAGGATGTGCATGGTGTGTGTTGGCAATGGAGAGGAACCAGCTGTCTGTCATGGTTCATCGGTATGGAACGTGGTGCTAAGAACATCCGCATGTGTTTGGGGCTCCTAAACTGAACACTAGTATAATAATCATCATATTGATAAAATCTCTTGAGAGTTCTTGATGTTTTCCATCTAGTTGTGCAGTCGTACTTGTTTTGATGAACATAATAACAAAAAACTATAAACCAAGCAAACTTGGAAACATGGGAAGTCTGAGTAGTTAAGTGATCCGTGGTAAAATACAGCTACTGGAGGGAAAGAAGGAAGGAATTCAATCCAGCCTGAATAAAATAACTGTAAGTTAGGACCTTATGCCATTTTAAACTACAAATATTTACCAATGAAATTCTATAACTAATATTTTTTCATCTGTCTACAAAAGAACATGTCAAAGACAACCAGAACCAAATATGCACAATTTAAGGTATTACTGTAGCTGCTATGTGAAATTGAGTTGTTAAAACGGAAAATCCTCCCAAAATGGGCAAGAATTCCTCTTTTTTTTTTTTTTTGACAAGAAAAAAAGCAGAAAGAATGATACACCGTTTGCAACAGGAAAAGTGAAAGGAAATGCCAGAACTACTTTTTGTGAAGCCCAAGTGAAAGGAGCAATGATCCATCAATTTAAGATTATTTTAGAACCAATCTATAAACCGATGCCACAGATATTGGAACCATATCAAGAAATCATTGGGCATTATGCTGTGCAAGATTTCCCCACTCCTCCCAAAAAATATAAGTGAGCTGAATTGCAAACTTCAAGAATGGCTTTATTCCTTTAAGTTTGCAAGTCAGGAGATATACTGAAAATACAGTTCTCATTATTAATAGTAATGAAATTAATGATGTATTAAAACAGCAGAAGTGTCTGATAGGAGGGCTCTAGTGTCAATGGCAGATACATAAGCAAAAATACTTGGAATTTATGCTTTGGCTGTTGCCAAGGAAACTGTAAGCTGGAAAGCGTGTGACTGAGAGCAGGGCAACTCTGCAGCTAAGAGGGTCATTGTGTGGTGAGTTTGGCTCTCTAGTTCCATTAAACCTACACTTTTCAAACTCTGTAAATAAAATCATTATGAATTTTGACATTCAGAGACCACATTGGATTATTACTTCAAACACACTGGGTGTTAAGAAATGTTCTTCATCCATTTTTACTCTGTAGTAACTGTTGAGGAGGGGAAAGTGTTTCAACAGTGACTCTGATTCTTCACCTTTTTAATGTTCCTACTGCACATAAGAAGTTAGAGAGACAACTCAGTGTTCTTAGGGAGGAAAACCCATTGGAAAGGGCACTGTGTTACTCTAAGCTGGAAGGTGTCTGAGAGTAGAGCTGTCCTCTGCTAGCTGCATTGAGAACTGCTCAGTCTTGCTTTCTCAGCCCTTTCCAGCCTACAAGGATTTAAGTTTGCTCAATGTTAGGGATATTTTTACCCTTAGCAGAACTGATTTTAGCCATGCTTAGTACTCCTTTACTCTTGTAACTTCTATCCAAGGGTAACTTTTCAGTAAGACAATCCTGCTGCTCTTCCGTGAGCTGGTAATATAGACTATGACTAAAGGGCAACCACACTACAAAACGAAGGGATCAGAAGAGTAAGAGTGGGTCACCTGTTAAAATATTATGGGCCAGAATGGCAGGTGTAGCAAATGCCATCCTCTGAGTTCAGTTGAGGACCAAGGGATAAAAGTAGGTTTTGATCTTGTCCAAATCCTGTCCATCAGTGTTATGCACAATATTGTATTTAACTAGGGAAGTCACTGCCGTGAGAGATAGAAGCCAGGAGCTAAACAGAGGCCAAGAAAGATTACAGATGCATGGGAAAAAAGAAAACTCCCTCGAAAGGAGAAAAAAATGACTTATTTTTGACATCAGTCCTCTTGGTAGAACAACTAACCTCACAGAATTAGGAACCAACTCCTCTCTGAGTGGATTATTCCACGACAGCCTGTTTGGGCAAGTTTTGTACCTTTGGCTGAACTGTGTTAGTGACCACTGTCATGGTGAGAGCTGATCATCCCGACGGACAATGGGGCTGATTTGATATGTAAGTTCCTATGAACTGCCTTAATGGGTCAAAGTCTGTGCATCCCATTGTTTCACTTTACCAGTAATTATCCTCAAATTAACTAATATCTATTTCCTATACATACTCGGGCATATGCAAATGTAATATTTTAGCTTAAGGACTCGGCCCTGGGAATGGCTCAGTTGCCTTCAACTCAACTATCACACCATTAACAGGTCTTTTCACTGCCCTGTTACGCGCTAGTTTTTATGCAGCAGTTTTCTGACTTTTGATATCTCAGAGCTCCCAACCAATCTGAACGTGTTAAAATGTGACTCTTAGGACAAACACTTTCTAGCTCAACATTTCATGCTCCTCTCTTTCCCAAATGCTGGTTCACAGGAGTTAAAAAATCACAGGTATTACATACTTTGCTTTAGTGACACGACATTTGGGAAGGAATCATCCAACCTTGAAATAAAATCTTTATTGAAAGCAATTCTACATCCATGCCAGTCAGATACGTTGTATGATCAGAAGAGATGTCCCAGGGGAAAGCTTGGCGCAGTAGACAGGGTTGATTACTTGGACCTCCTGTCAGT